AAGGAAATGCTCCGTTGGACAATGAATCATTTTTATTATTGAAAAAAATCTTGATCCATTTTTGCAAATAATGGTTCGTAGAATTTGAAGCAAATTTCTGAAGTTCGCTTAATCCAGTGTTGCTAATTTTTTAGGAGGAAAGGGCCATAACAGTTCATGGTTTCGCTCGAAATAAGCAGTTTTCCCATGGGAGATCGATCACATTTAGACTTCCTTACTTTATTGATAGACTTTGTTCGAGGCTGGCTTTTAAAAGTCTTTAAGATTTCATTATTTACTGATGACGCAGAGAGCGCTTTTGGATATGAGAAATAAGTCCATTATGCAGGGCTTTAATAAATCGGAATTGGTTTTTATAAGACTTAAGAAAATATTGATAAAATCATCCAACATTGGGCGCATCAACAAGAGCAAGCCCTCACAAATGCAATAAATTAAGAATTTAAGCACTGAGAGACAGCACTCGCGATTACAGACCCTATTTATTAAGATTAATCCATAAAACTCCCCCAATTTTAATACTTTCACAATGCTTGCCTTTTTATTGGAATTTTAAGTCGTAATGAAAGTTCGATTAAAAACGCACCCTGAGATGAATATACTTAATTTTATTAGACGATCGGAATGTCCTCAATATCGGTTAAGTCAATTGATTAAATCCTAGTTCCATTAATCAGGCTTGATTTATGAGCATTTTCAATGAGCTCCACTACTGATTTGCTATAAGTAGAGCAAAATAATTACATAACGTTCAGAGTAAATAGCATTTATCTGTTTGACTGTTAAGAGTAGCAAAGAGAAATGTTTATTTCAAATCAGAGAGGGGTGTTTTCAGGGAATCCCAATTGCAAATCGAGTTGGTATTAGCTGCCAAGACGATACAGTAGTGATCATAAAGTTGTTGGGTAATCTCCGTATCGTCCAACATTTCAACTCGGCTGATCCTTTAAAGTAGAAACAATGCATATTTTAAAAAAAATTAGAATCTGCATAACGCTACGCAATTCTATAAAATAAATCTTCAATAGAAAGAATTATCTTTGATATTTTGACAGAAACTCCAATTCTTCGTTACACTGTATGACAGCACTAACGGCCGTGCTCATTGAGATATTGTGTTCACCTGCATAAGCTCGCTATTGAAAAACGTTTCGAAGGTAACTTCCTTAAAAACATCCTTCCAAAATTGATCACCTTAGACCCTATCTATTATTACTAACAATTTCTTAGGAAGTATTAATAGTTGATTTTCTTGTTTCTGATTAACTTGGATTTACAAGCGGCGAAACTGAGTACTTGGAGAAATCTCCATTTTAATTTCTTGTGAGGAAATATCAGGAATAGAAGAAGTATACAATTTTCAAGATATCATTACCTTTTAACTACCTCCGGAGGCAATGAACTGAAAACATCGTTAATTGTCCAAGCTCGGGCCTCTGTCCATCCGGTATTCTTAAAACTAAGAAAAATGAGGAAAAAGTAAAAAGAGTCCACTCAATTGCTTATAAGGAGGAGAATAAGGTAAAGAATAATATCTTGCAAATTTATTGCTTGGCTAATAAGCATTCATTAAAGTTGATTTAATGAGAAAAAGGAGATATGTTTGACTGACACATTGAAATCAAACTATGAATTAAGCCTGGTAGACGTTCATTCACGCTAAAGAATCGAAGTTATTTATGAAAGCTTGATATGGCTTAGGAGACATTATCTATTAAGTCGGGGTGTGCGATAGACTTGCCCCAAGTGATATATTTAATGAATGGGGTGTGCGATAGACTTACCTCCACGTTGTGCGAAATAGCAATGTGGGGTGTGCGATAGACTTACCTCCACGTGGTACGCCCTGGGCAATGTATACTCATACGGCAAAAAAGTCTATTAAATGGCTTTGGGCAACGTATACTCATACGGCAAAAAGTCTATTAACCGTCAGTTGATTTCTCACTTCAAACTACCATGACCCCACCGTATGTCATATTCGACAATTTCCACAGTACTTATCTTACCTTTTCTCTGCCTTTGTGCCTGTCTGTCTCTTTTACATCTGTGAATCATTATTCTGTCCCCCTCTCGACTTTTTTGTCACTTTGATGTCCCTCCTCCTCTCTGTAAGGCCAGAAGTCAGCTAAAGGGCTGATGATAGCTATCAAATCGCCTGTCATTAGAAATAAATAAATATCTATAAAATCAATCAGGACAGTAAAAGTACAGTTTTGAATATTGTATCTTATATTAGAAGAGAAATCAAGATAAAAACTTCAGAGAAAATGGTAGACGGGAACAACATTTGCAAAGAGCACGAAAGATAGACCGAAGCCAGATTACTATGAAACCATACAATTAGCCACACATAAAGAAATGCGTAATAAGAAATTAATAGAAATACATCTGAAAACAAGAGAGTAAACTTGTATGAGGATCACTGATTGAAAATGAGTGACGGCGTTTCGTGAGTACAAGCTCACATCTTATCCCCCAACTCATAATTTTGTATTCCATTTAATCGATTTTACTTTCCCTCTTATACGCATGACTTGAAGTGCACAAAAAATTAGGGTCCCAATCTACATCGCTCCCTCAGATTTACGAGGCTTTATAATATCCATTGTGAATATCGGAAATTTTATTAATTATTGTGAAATACAATAATCGACTAACAAAGAAGAATGAAAAACTTCCCAAACTCAATGATAGAAGCGTTACCTAAGGTAAACTTGAATAGAAGGACAATATTACAGTCGTTGTGAAAAGAGGGTAACATTCAACCTTCCCTCCCGTTGTCCCAACATGGTCAGCGAAGTTGATCACAACAAGGAAGTCGACTTATGCTTGATAAGTCACAGACAGATGCGTTCCGCTGTACATCGATTAATACCGATGGTTAACCACGCCGTTAGTAAGTGGCTCCAGAATATCTACCCTCTAAACGAATCAGGTACATTCAAACACCTTATAGACTTAACGCCATTTCAAATTTTTATCAACTCGATATACTTCAATAAAGATCAATTTAGACTAAGCTACCTACAAAGCAATAAATATACGTACGAATGAAATAGCAATCAAATAGAGATGATTAATGTGGAAAAAATGACGAACCGGGTTATCTGTTCATCTAGAGAGCCACAAGCACCAAGACCCGGTAATTCGCAAGACCTATCTCGAAAATGACTTCGCATGATCTCACCAAACTTGTCAATCATATTAACCTGAAAATGTGAAATGAAAATTAGTATATCAACTAAGAAGATCTGGTTTTAAATATCACGTAATTATAATTACTTGTTCATAGTTCAAAAAGGCAGCCTGAGTGAATTTTGAAGAGAGAGTTAACAGAAGTGAATCCGAAAACTTGGTTGGAATATACACGAGAACACATTCCGCGAGGAAAAGAGTGGGAAGGTCAGAAGAGAGTTTGGGACCATCTGGAGATTCGCAGAGTAATTTAATCAAAGAATCCGGATCTGACTGAAGATCAAAACTGAGAATGTGATATGACCCAAATTTGGCACGATCAATAGGGCCAGAGGGTAATACTGAGGTAGAATCACCGCTCGCAAGAGCAGACTTGAGAACAGTATTTCTTCTAAGCGTAAAAATCTTCTTTCGGACGTTACCAGGGAGATCTAATTCCACATAGGAGCTGGGAAGCGACTCACGATCTTTTAACCGAAAATACAGCGTATCTGATCCAGCTCCAAAGTTCACAATTTGGCATGATTTATTGCAATCCTGAATGAAGCGTGCAACGATTGCTTCAAAGGTCTGTACCCGAACGAAGTAACCTCGGCTTATTTCCGGTGTGGAAGAAACGGGCAATGGACAGAAGATCTTAATATAGGGATCAGCCCAATAACCAAGACGAACGGCATAAGCCTTATTTCCAGTCGCCTCATCATTTGTATATTGAACACTCTCAAGATCCATTAAAACAATTCTAAAAAGAGAACGAGAACAGTAAATTAACTAATTAAAATTGAAATGACAACTTTCATGTAGCAATTAACTCAAAATGTACTAAGTAAACTCCGACATCGAAGTACCTAGCATCAACCCTCAAGGTAGTGTAGGTGTTGGTTATGAATGAAGCACTTCTGTAGACAAAAACATAAATAAAGATTTGTATAGGAAAACAAGCAAATTTTTTTTTAAATACTAGAAACTTTTCAGTAAATCTTCAATAAATGCATAAACCTAATCTTCCTTTTAAGCAGTGATTCAAACATAGAGGTTGGTTGTTAATTGTCTAGGTTTTTAGAATATAAATTAAATGTAAGCATGAAATACATTTCATTTATAATAAGCATGGAGTAACTAAACCACGTTTTGTAATTTTAATAAATGTTCAGCTTTTTTCAGATGGCGGGTTGTTTGAGAGACTTGCTTTTATTCGGTCGGTCATCTGTGACGTTGTGGTGTCATGTGTGCTGATATTCCTACCCAAGCCGAAGACACTCAGAAGGATGGACGCTGGTTAAGCATGGTAAAATTTTATGTAATTTTACTCACATTCGCCAGCATTCCCGCTTTCTTACTCAAGGCCGTGATAAGGAACCTGAAGTATTATTCCTAGGCGATTCCATTTTATTTAATTTCGAGGCTACTAAAGTACGTCATTTACTTAGTTCTTATTTCAAGATGTATAAAACATATGTTGAACCTTTGCATTGCCTAAATTTCTCCATTCCAAATGATGAAACCCAAAATATTTTATGGCGAGTTCTAAATGGAGAACTGGATGATGTAAAAGTTAAGGTAGGGCAATTTGCAGCCTTTTCACTTCTTTAGGTTGTTGTACTGTCTGTTGGAATGCATAATAAATGTCCCGCAGAGGAGGTAGTTGCCGGAATTAATGCTATCCTAAAAGTTATTAAGCAAAGACAACCCGATGCGCATATTTTGGTTATGGTAAGCTTCTCTTAACATTCATGCATTCCTTGTCACAGCAATTGTTTTATAATTTACGAACCTAAATTTCATATCGACTAACTTATTGAGTAGTGTTGCTTTTAAATAATTTCCTTTCCTAGTTGATAATCTCTAATTCGTTCCATTCTTTAAATTGGTTGCTTATATGAAGTCTATTTTCCCATTTGTTTTTAATTTATTCATGATAATTATTTGTAAATACTCAAGACTTATTCTCCAAGACCTTCCAATGGATATTAAAATTGTTATCCATGTTTCCAATATTTTACTGCAACAAGTAATTTGTCCTTGGCTCCATAAGTGGTATATTCCATAGGTTTGACCTTCCACAGCTGATATTGCTAATGTAGTGTTAGAATTCTCAATGTCTCTCATTCCTCCTATGTCTCTAATTATAATTGACGAAGAAAATCTTTTTTATTGCGTTGTCACGATTTTAGGAGATTTGAATCCTCTCCATTAAGACTTTTTAGTAGATCGTTTTTTTTTCAAAGTTAATCATTTCATTTACTAGAAGTCCATAATAAAAGAGTATTACTGTTTCGTGTGGTTAAGCATACTGCCACAATACACGGTTACATAGGGAGCAAAGTTGTCGCTTATTTTTAATTTCCTCATGATGATTCATTGCCGATGTTTTGTTGTTGAGCTTCGGATTCTTCTGATGTCCAGAGTTGTTTGGTGTCTGTGTAAGAACATAATTTCATTTAGTAAGTGCTAACTGCAAAGGCAAGGTACCACAAAGTCACCCTTTCAGGGCCTTAATTTTGTTATCCCTGCTTTAATATATTGTGGACTACTGTACCAAATTCCAAAGACCCGCATGCTCTCACATCCGGGTAATACGCATACTTTTATATTGTGCTAATTATAGCTGATTGGATGGTTAAGCTTGACACATTTAAGGACAGGAGGTTGGTCAATGGTGCTCTTGTTTCGAGAATACCTCACTTCTTATTGACCACTGCTTCTCGATATAACGCTTTTGTTACCTACCTTCACATTATTGTTGTTGCTACCTGTGTTCTTTTGGACCCATTTAGTCGTTTTTATTACCGAATTTTAACGTTAACATTTGACTGAATGACAAGCATAGGAGCAAACTACTTTGTGCGCAATAAATTTGAAGTCAATTGAGGTCACCCAGAATTTACCTTTATCAGAAGAGTAGCTTTCTGAATCTTCTCGGTTGGGAGAACTTGCATTATACCATCATCTCTTAATCAATTCAATTGGCCATGCCTTTCATTGTGCAGATGTTGATACTGGGTCCGCTATGTACGTTGATTAACACTTTTTTCCATCATTTAATGTAAAGAGATAAACCAGTGAAAGACATTGACAGTAATTCTGTTAGTTTCTAAAGGGAACTATACGAATTTCAAATTTTCATTCACCTCATCTTTACCATGCTCAAGTTGTGAACTGTAGAAAATCATATAAGATCAGTTGCTTTCTCAACGAATGGAAAAAGTCGAGTATAAGGATCGATCTTACTTGTTTCAGTAACTTTGGCCAGTAATCATTGAACATTACAGAAGAGCAGTTGCTGCAATCTGTTGAATTTGAATGCGAACTGTCCATGTAGTTAATATGATACAATCGGTAAACAAGAATCATGTGAAGTAATATTCTTAGACACCCTAATATTCCTTTGTATATCTCTTTGATCGGTCACAAACGTAGATGAAAGGTGAGGTGTGCAATGTGGAAGTGGTCGAATATAACACAGTGTGGTGATGGTAGTTTGAAATCAGAAGTCAATTGCCGATGCGCAGACTTTTTCCCGTATGAATATACGTTGCCCAGGGAGCACCAAGTGGAGGTAAGTCTCTCTGTGAATCATTCCTCTGTGCCCCTCTCTCTACTTTTTTACGACTTTGATGTTCCTCCCCTCTGTGAAGCCCGAAGTCAACTAATGGGCTAATGATGACTGTCATAAAGTCTGCCACTTGATATATATATATATATATATATATATATATATCCAGTTATCGTTTATTGGACTTGCCGTTATTCGATATCAGTTACCTCGCGCCTCTAATGGTTGTTAAAAGTTTGCATATTATTATGAATAATAGTAACATAATATTGTACTGTTCGTGTTATTCTTTATTATACACATCCTTGTCTTTATCTCCTAATTGAATAGGTTTCTCAACTCAAAGTACTTTTAGAAATTAAGAGCTTTTAGTTGGAAAATGCTGACCTCAAGATTTTAAGAGTAAAGTCTCTAATGCAATTTCAGTATCTTTTCACTTGCCTCTTTCTAGTTTATGTAATGTTTTAAAACATTTTTTGAAATATGGGGTAACTAATTGTTCTCTTTCATTCAAATTCAATCAGTATGGGCACATTCCTATTGGCCCAGACTTGTCGGTTATTTTTTTACGTTGAATGCTTTTTTTTAAATTAGTGAAGTTACAATTAATTTTGTTGAATCATATCGTGTTTTTTCTGGTTTTGGTTAAGACTGTACTTGTTACTATCTTTTATGAAGTAATTATTCCGGGCTCATTTCTACTATTATTTCCCAGAAAAGGTCTCCCTCACCTACTTTCCTTTTCCTTGCTAATGGTTGTTTTGAGGTCTTATTGTGAATTTTAACCAACCCTGTCATCGATTATCAATTAAATGTTTTAATTTATCACCTCAAATTAACTCTGTATAAAGATTTCACCAAAATTTCTCTAACCATATTATTATTTCTCTTTCTCATGGTGTTGCAAATTCCCCGTGGTTAGGAGGTTTCATTTAGGTAATGGCCCTTTATAAAACTTGTTTTTATCTTCTTTCTGTAGGGCTTACTTCCTTGTGGAAAGACACCAAATCCTCGACGACATAAGCACGCCGAAATCAACAAACTTCTCTCCGCCCAGTTCTCCCAACCAGGCGACCGGGTGGTCTTTCTCTGTCCCGACTGGGAAGCCCTTCTCCAACCCGACAAATCCATTGCCCACCGTGACATGATGGATTATCTCCATCCTACAGAACATGGATATGAGAAATTCATCGAACCCCTCGTGGAGGAACTGCAGACATCCCTTCAGACATTCCTCAAAACCAATGCTCCGTCGTCTAGCCCACTTTAATTATCCCAGAACTCTGTTCCTTTGTTTCTGCTTCTTCAATCGTTTTCTCCCTCTTTCGGTTGCTTTGAATGGGAAGTTTTTGTCCCCTCTCGCTATTGGTTTCAATTTCTATTTGATTCTCATAGACCTCATTTTTGTTAATTAAATCTTATCTGTGTGTACACTCTGTTTTCTTCCTTAATTGTTTGGATTGGATCATTCTAGATTATTATTATTATTACTAAGAGAAGGATTTTGCTTTCTCTTTTAGAGAAGTGGGTTATTCTCAAAGTGGATGGGTAAGCATCGGATTTAATAGGGCAGAGGAAGCTTCCCACCTCACTTTATAATTCTGCAATTGCTTTGAATTCATGAAAGCAAAGGAATTCGTGGTTCAACCCTCATTTTTTTCAGAAAGGAGATGTGTTTTGTGAAATTAAACTCGTGGAAGTTAATATTTATGTCCTTTTACCAATGAAGGTTGTGCTATTAGTTAGATAGCATATATTTGTCCCCAGACACTCTTGTTAATGTTTTTATCTTCACCGCATTGAGAAGGGAACAGTTGTAACCACCAAAGTATATTAGTAACAGTCAGGGATAAATTCTTCCGTAATGTTAGTGATTGCCGTAGATGCAGCAGTCAGTTGGTTGTACGTGGATTGCCTGTAACTCATTTAAGAGTATAGATTAATGAGTTGGGAATGGCGAACGCAAACGCTCAATCACCCAAGAATGAACAGCTTTAGCTGGTTGGTTGCAGGTCTTGAGTGGCGCAGAACCTTCGATGGTAAGCCGACTAGTAAGGTTGGTTGATCCTCAATAGCAATATTAGGGAAGGTACATATAACCAATTGAGTTACTATACTTAGTGATTGAACAAGCGGATGAATATCATAAATATGGGGTAAGTAATTTATCGAATGGGAATTTGTACTGTCTTTACAGTAAGGTACAGTTCGAGTGCACTCTTTATTAGAACAGTATGAATCGAACACTGGAGGCATAGATCCTTTTCATTATTAATCGAGGAGATGTCTCTAAGCGCTCTCATCTTCGTATTTTTCAAATTGGGGCTAGTACCTTAGCTTGTCTGAGATGGGGGAATTTAACCGTCCTAGGCAAATTAGTTTAGAGCTTAATGCTCATTCTTCAAAATCAATTTTCCATTGTGGGACACGTCATCGCATGCCTGCACGCCAAGCCTTGTGGGACACGTCATCGCATGCCTGCACGCCAGGACTGGGAGATGCCAGGATTGGGAGGTGCGGCCGTACAACTTTGTGTGCAGTTCGCCAGGATTGGGAGGTGCGCCGTATAACTCTGTGTGCAGCGATCGTACAAACAGTGACCAATCATTAACCTCTGTTTAACCTAATTCGCCATCCTGATCATGATTAAGCTCCCTGGGTGCACACTTTATCTGCAACATACCTACTGAATAAGCGTGCTCCGTGCTACACGACTGTTTCCTTTATAGCTGGGCTATAGCCTAGCTGATTCTG